AGGCGAAGGGGTGGGGGGGTCCGCGGGGAGGGGAAGGAGGGGAAAGAGGAAAGCAAAGGGGAAAGCAAAGGAAAAAGGGAGAGGGAAAGGAAAAAAGAGGAAGGACAGGAGAAGGGAGAAAGGACAGGAAAATAAAAGAAAGGAAAAGGGGACAGCCAAGAGGAAAGCAACGGAAAAGGGGAAAGCAACGGAAAACAGAAGGGAAAGGAAAAAAGAGGAAGGGAGAAAGGGGGGAGAGAGGAGAGGAGAGATGAAGGGAAGGAGGAGAAGGAAAAAGGACAGGAAAAAAAGAAGGGGAAAGGACAGGAAAAGAAAGGAAAATCCAGGCTATTAAATTGGTAATTACAGCACTTTTGCAACACTTAGAAATGCTATGAAAGGGCCCTGTGGATGAGCCACAATTCAGTCGGGAAAGCGACATTCTCAGAAACAACGCGTTCCTCACCGCGCAGCGAACGCAGCGCCTCTGCTGCGCGCGCCCATCTGTGCTATGAAAACTCCTGCAGGGAGTGTGAAATTCCCCGGACGTTTCATCACAACAGCAGGCTGCAATATGGAAAGGAAATGAAGCACTGGACTGAGATCCAATGTGATGCCAGGTTTTAGGGGATACATGACTTTAAGGGACAGCTCGTACATCTGCGAGCAGCAGGTCTCCAGGACAGTGGGTCCCTCTGGATTCCCACAGGTGCTTTCAGAGATACCCGTTCCCCGGTGCTTGCGCTGGGGGGTGCCTGGCACAGGCTCGCTCTCCTGACATTATCCGGCTAGGGAAATAGGAGTGAAGCCAAAGCAGAGCAGGCTCTAGGAGCACATGGATGGGGAGCTGAAAGGATAACAATTTTTCATCTCCTCCCAAGACCTCAGTCCTAGCACAAACAGTTTGGTAAAGGTTGCAAACACCTCCATTGATTTATCTTGCAATACCTTTCTTAGTTCACCAAATCCAGGCCCTTGCCAGAGGCCTTGCGGTCCTCTTAGCAATAAAATGCTGCTGCTGAATGAAGGTTATGATCTTATGCTTCTTCAGCAGTAAGTGATGCTGTTGAACTGCTGTTACGATATGCATAGTGGTTTCAACAGCAAAAGCAAATACTGTAACAGTTCCTATCTGTCTCTCAAGAACAGGCTAGACCTGGAGTTTCTTGTGCACTGTGCAGTAGCCTGTGACACACTACTCTCCCTTCACCTTTCAGGTGACTTAGCTTTCAGTCTGCTGTTTTAGGATCCCTTGCTTTCTACCCGTTTCATTATTGTTCTTATTCATCACAATCTTTCCGTATCTTCTACGCTAGACTCCATCTGGCCCTCGGGACAGAACATCCTTCTGCTCCCACCTCATCCCACTTGCATTCAACTGTTTACTTTAGCAGTACTCACTTACTGGATCAGCTCTTGGGTCATGTAGACAGCTCAGAGGTTGAAGCCACAGTCTAGATAAAGTACAACCAGGTCATCTGTGCTTTTCCTCAGTTCAAACTACCAAAGAATTCATCTAAGGGCAAGTTCCAAATGAGCGCTCATGTCCTCTGCCCCAGTCGTCTGTCTCAACAGAGTCGGACTGATAGACATGAAAATTTTGGCACTGAAAAGCGGTGGGAAAATTTTAGATGCAGTCTCATTGTTTCATCTAATTACAACACTTGTCTTGTTAGAAGTAGGAGCTGATTGCCCTGCTCGCCTTCCTTTTTTGGACTGACGCATTTGGAGCAGCAAATCTTTGCAGGATTTAGCCCCAGGTTGGAGCTAAGGAAAAGTGAAGTTTAGTTATTTATACCCTGAAATGAGATGGACCCTTCCAGCTCACTGCACTGGCCCGTACAGCTGCTGCAGCTTAATGGAGCCACCTCATTGCAGGAAGGTCACATAGAGTCCTTTTCCCTCCCTTCCATTATGCCTAAATGTTTCACTGTTACTGTAAAAAGGGAGAAGGTGCTGCTTGCCTTGCTGTGCCTTTCTTCCACTTCCCAAGATTAAGAGTTACCAGGACGACAAAGAAGAAGGGTAGGAGGGAAGCGCGTAGATGTAGCTCTACAGGGGTAACCTCTTGAATGCCCTCCCACGGGAACAGATTGGAAAGCAGTATCAATTCAGCGGAAGGTCAGACATAGGTGTCAGCCAAATTGTGTTGAAAACGCTCTCCTTCCAAACTAATCACCTTTCCTGTGTGCTAGCAATGCCTGGTAAAAGTATGTATTTGGCTCCAAATGGCAGCTGTACCAGCATCTGTGACAAACAAAAACAAACTTGAGGCATAGTATGAAAGTAGCCATTGCTGTAGCAAACTGTGATGAAGCCATGGGGTGCTAGGATGGGATGCTAATATCACGTATGAAGTTTCTCATGCTTGAGATTCCCTGATGTGAGGCCTTTTGTAGAAGTCAGGATATCCAGAGTAGAAGTCCTGACCTCCGAATTTCCTCTGAACTTCCTTCCGCTTTTGCTCACATCTGCAACAGGAACAGAATCTCTGACCTTAACATACACTTATCAGTCTGAAGACAGCAGAAGGACCTCAAATGCAATGGCAGGCTATTTCTTTCTCCTAAGGAATGGAGTCCTTCATGGCACTTGGAGAAGGGCAGAATTTGACAGAACCATTAGGTTTTTATTGTCAAATCCAAAGTCTGAGTAACCAGCAGCATGGCATTCAGGGAACTCAAACCTGTTATTAAGATTAAAGCTTTCCTTGTGTTACTCTTTCCTCAAGCTAGATTACTGGAGCAGACCGTTTTTGCTATGCTATGCTCATCTTCCTTAGATGCAGCAAACGCCAAGTCACTGTAGTTTCACTGCTGAAGGATTTCGGAACAAGAAGGTGCCCTGTCTGCTCTGATGCTCCTGATTTCAGAGTAAACGTAGACAACCCCCCTCTGAAGGGCAGTGGCCCTTCCCAAGGCCAACTAAGCATCTGATAGGAAGGAGGGCCAGCAACAGGTACGCTGCTTAGTCTCTTTGCCAAGAAGGTCCAGACAGGGCAACCTTTAGGAGCAACAGAGATGGCAGAAGGATACCATGTCCCCTGTGGCCTTGCCTCCACAGCACTCAGAAAAGGTGGCAATATGGGAGGAGCATGACCACTCTGATACATACCCTCTCTTGTCCACCATCTGAGCTGTACCATCCAGAGCAAGACTACAGAGGGGAACCAGAAAGAAGCAAAATTCCTGTTTTCACTTCGTGCTCTAATATGACTGTTACTAATATTTCTGGTACCATGAAAAAACAATGAGAAATTATTTTCATTTGGCTGCAAAATTTAAATGCAAGCTTGAGAGATTTGAGCTTTTATTTAGCTTTAGAGGTCTACTTTCGATTTGAGCTTTTATTTAGCTTTAGAGAACTGAGAAGGGGCAATCACGTGCACTATGAAAGTAACTGAAGGCTCAGAGTATTTCAACGATTACGGGGCTTATAAATCAGAAAAACAAAAATTTGGAACTCTTTTCTTAAAATAAAACCAAGAAAGAAAAGGAACAAGTACGATCAGAGCTGCATCCAGGGCTGGATGCAAAATATTGCCCATCCCTAGTATTTGAAAATTGTGAAGTGGGGCTGCAGTATTTCAGGACCAGATTAAAAATTATGAGATTTTAAAGCGTGACAGAGTTCAAGACTGTTCCCTTGACTTGTATTTTTGCAGTTTGATTCCTATTTTTAGTGTTTTCCACCACAACAATTATGACTAGATCTATTTTTTAAATAGAAAAATAATCTCTCTGAAAAACTGAAAAAAAATCACATGGTCAAGTACCAGAAGACTGGCAACACTGATTTCTGATCTGATAGCCCTTCAGTGATTCTATATGTGTCTGCTCTTAAAACTAGGCTGCTGCAGTAGGCTTTTAGCAATGGATTAGTGGGAAACAACAGGCTAGTTAAACACTTCTGGAATGAAGGAATTTTCATGCCGGCTAGCTAAAAAGAGAAGAGTGTCTCTTTTTGCTTGTTTAGACCTCCAAAGGAAAAGCACAGCAACAGGGCTGCCATGGGTTCGACCCTCTCTCACTGTGGTGCATAATTTTCTGTAATGCCCAAGGATGCTGTTCCCTACTTCTAGCGGAATTTATCTTCAGAATATATATATATATTTTTTGTAATGTGGATAAAACTTCAAACAAGTTAGTGACAGCTCTTAGATACAGGGTCCTTTTTACTGTAGAAATTTAAGGGTTATATCAAAGTTTTTAAAAACATTTTAAATGCATGTGCATTTGTAAAAATATAATGGCAAAATTATCTGAACTCTTAAGTGATGCATTTGGACTCTGTTCTTGTAAATACGAACGATGATTAGGCATAAGAATCATACAGCACCAGGAATAGCCACTGAAAAGTTATCTTTTGTCTACAATAGGATTATTTGTATGTATAAGGACCACTTCATATGACGTATTTGGCAGAATCTCTCTCAGTGCTTGCAAATGGATAAAAATACTGCAGTATTAAGAATATTTCACCTTTATACTAAAGCAAGGCTAAAAATGGCAAGCCCTTGTGGGGGAGGGAAAAAAAAAAAAAACCAAAGCGGTCAACACAGCTCAACTGTGTTTAGACAGAATTTCTGTTATCGCTGTGTATATTTCTATGTGACTGTTTAGATTCCTCTCAAAGTCTTGAAGGAATCTGTTAAGCTCACAGTCAAAACACTCCATTTCCAAATTCTCCAGCCACAATATTACATTACCCACATTCTTATTCACGTTCCCGATACAAAAGATTAGGAATGACTACCTGCCCCTCTGGTATTTGGCTTCCTTTTAGAATATATATTAAACAAGCACATTATGAGAACAAAATAATGTGAAGGATACTAGTTGACTTACCTCCACTTTAAAAACTGCACAGCCTTTTAGGAACTCTTGAATATTACTGATGCAATCAGCTTCATTTTTAGGCTCCAGACAATACTAAAGAAATAAAATCCACCAAGATCACTATGTTACCTTCTGCACAGCCTCTATTCAGAAGGCCTGCATGAATATTGACATGTGCGTTTTATATTGAATTAGGGAAGCTTCTTAAGGGGGCGGATGGGGGTGGCAGGCAAGCTGTCGAACCAGGAAGAAAGAGCCACCGGAGGAAGTGATGCATAAATCGAAATGGTCGGCATCTTGTTTTGAATGTCAACATACGACAGTGCCCTAAAGCGATAGTGGGAAACTGATGACCTTTAAGAATGCACTGCCCCAAACCATCATATATAAACAAGAGATAAGTAGCTAACAAAAGTGATTTTTGCTTTTTAAACAAAGGCACCTATTTTACAGGGTGGGGACGAACCTGCTTCTTCCTTTAATTAAAACAGATTCTCTTCTGTGCTGCCATTTCCTATCTCTCATCATACTCCTTCCCCTTTTTTCCCCACAGTTACTTATCACTGTTTTGGACTGCACACACATATGCCTAGCAAAACCCTAATACAAGGTTCTCAGATGGCTTAAACTGCTTCAACATAAACGTATTTGCTTGACTTGAAACAGTTCAAAATGGCACGGATGCAAGGTTCATTTACTTCTAGCCTCATCTTGCTCTCCCCAATGTACTTCCTGAATAGCAAGGTATTTTACAGTGACAGTTCCAAACTATATTTACTTCTATAGAGACAAACCACACATCCATCTGTTCAAAAATAAGGTGTTTTTTGACTTTTGGTAGGCCTAGTATTTCCTCTGCCGCTGAAAGGAACACCTAAGCCGCCAAACTACAACCTTCTGGGTTTTTGTGGATGTTAAAGAGAGAAAATCAAAAACCGAAAGCTAGGATCCTACTTTACCCTAAGTTAGATTTAACTAGTAACTTAAACATGTTGATCTTGCTGATCTTCCTCACTCATGCTACCTACCAAAGAAAACCATATCCTATAATAAGCAGTGCACTATTTCACCAAACAGCGCTCTAACTTCAGGCTAGTGAAACGTATCTAAAAAGTTACCTTTTCTGCAGATCCCGGAAGAAGGCGATTAATGAGTCTACAAAGCACTATTCCATCTTTCAGAGAAGTTTTCAGGAACTCCTCTGGATCCTCTACTATTTTCTTGGGAGAATTCAAAACTCCTAATGAAATAAGCCATGTTACAATTTGCTCTTCTGGATTCATTGCTGAGAGTTCTGCCTTCACTGCACTTCTGTGCAACAACTCGCTCTAACCCACATCCGTGATTACATCTTCCTGCCTCTTCTGGCGCGTGCAGGGCTTAAGAGTGAAACGACTTTTTTTCACTGGGCACTGAAACTCACTGAATTTTAAGAACCAGAACTATAGTTACTCTAAGGTAGGAAACGTCCTTGTACAATGGTTTACAGAACTCTGTTACTTCAAAGGGATATAGTGAAAGCATACCTACTACACATTTTCAGCATTTCTGAAAACAGAAGTATTCTGTGCAGATACTTATATTGTACCAAGGTCTTACCTAGTTACTTTCTCCTTGTGACAGATGTCATTCTACAACCTGGTAAGCTTGGTCTTGTGGCTATTGTTCAACAAAGTAAAGGTCAGTATTTCCTAGTGCACTGCAATATTTACAGTATTAAAATTGTATGTTACACTACAGATGATTTGGGGGGAAACATGCCATGCAAGCTTTTAAATAAAATTTAATTTTTAACTTTCTGAGGTAAAGTCTTCATTTTAAATCACTGCCATTTTACAACAGTTTTCCATTTGCAAAATCTGATTATGATTCTAATCACGCATTTGTCAAAATCTCATTTTTTTCCTCAACTATTTTATACAAGAAATAAACATATAATCCAAAATGTTCTTTTGCAAGATTACCATCTGTCAAAGCAAACATCTTGGGTAACTGTGAAAACTTCATAAACCAAATTTAAGTCTTTTTTTATATGAAGCAGAGAATGAAAATTTCCAACTATTTTACTTGTCCCATTAAAGCGTCCCTTTCTACAAGCTCTCTACAGGATCTACTGCATGAGGATAGAGTCGTTTTAGGAATTTTTTACCCTGCTCTAGGGTAATATTAGCCAGCACTACTGGTGATGTTAATTTAGTAGAGTCCAGTCATCTCACAGTTTTCCAACTGTCCTTTCACCAACAGATAGAAAACTACCATTTTCTAACCAACTCATGACTCCTAAGAAGTTAACTAGAGCAACAGGGATAGAAAGCAATGAAACAGGAAGAAGTAACTATCCTAGAGATCAAAAATTCTCTGACAATGTTCTAAATGATAAATCAATTCCTGAGCCTGTTGCTTGAAGCAGCTGGTTTCAAGACATCAGCTCTCTTGAATCGCTGAGGCTTATAATTTGAGGTGTAGGGAGAAAGAGAAGAGCAAAAGGAAAAAACTACATGCAAGGTATGTGTTGTTTTGTGTCCCCACTTTCCAGGTCCTACGACTGGGACATACCTAAGGATCATTTTTAATAGCTAGTAGTAAGAATTCAGAACTGCCCTTTTAGGTTTAGAGATTTTTGGCCACAGGATGTTGGGATGAATTCTGTTTTATATGAAAATACTAGTAACACTAGCAGCTGCCAGAGTGAATGGTTAACACTGACTGAAGCTAAATCACAAAACTCACTGCCATCTGGTAAAGTTCATCTATAGCTATCCGTATGTGCAGAAAAATTTACTTGAAATTTATAATTAGAGACCCTCAAAACAGTAGGCTTTTTTAAAGTTCTCATGAGCAGTACTATTTTGTTTGTGGAAGTGCGTACTTGCACTCTCCACTTTCAGAGCTTGCCTTTTCTCAAATCTATAGTAGGCAAGATAATTGGCAATGCTCATTCATATACTGTGGCCCACCATTCACAAATGGAAGACATCCACTCCAGTATTCTTATTAGAATCCACCGGCTTCTGATGTAGAGCACGAGAAGTACTTCAAGGAAGGGAAAAATCCACACCTGCTTCATTAAACGCGGTACTACAAACCTGAACGCCAAAGAATACTTTGCTCATTCCCCCCTCCAAAACAAGTATCTAACCTTTCATTTTTTGGCAGACAGTCTTAAGAGTTCCATGCCTGTTCTGCATCCATCAGTTGCAACTATGATTAAATGAAAATACCTCTGATGTGCTGGACACGTACCAACAGCTCGAAAGACTGACCCAGAGCCATTTGCTCTCTCACACATTCAGAAAGCCCCCAAAACATATGGTACTCTAACTACTTTGAGGCCAACTTTTACATCTTTCAGAACATCAGGATCCCACTGAAAATGTACCGATGTTTTCACCTCTTCTCACTGGTGAAGTAATTCTGTGGCAGAACCACGGGTATCGAGGTAGATCCACAAAGTGAGGAACAGTTTCTTGTTTGGTCTTTCTTTGGAAAAGTTATCATCTCTGATCTCAACATTAGCTATCTGCTGACAGGGACAAATCAAACGAACTGTCAATCTTCTCATGCAGAGTCAACCTTCACCCCTAAGTTACCAATAAACTTCTATTGCAGTCTGATTCAGACAATGACTGATAATGACGATAGTATTAGCTTTAGAAAAGCATGTTGGTCTACAATCTCCTTTTAAACTAGAGACTTTCAAGAACGTAATTTGAGTCAGCGCATAAGCTAATGGGAATGCAGCACCAACATGATCTATTTACCATGTTAGGCAGACGTAATTTTTGTTCATACAGTAGCTCGTGTGCTGGGATTGTATTTTAGGCAGCCGCAGCCAGACGATAAACTACGGCTAAAAAGGCGTCTTTTAATAGCACAGCATATCACCATTCTTGAAGAAATGAGGTGCATTCTCTAAGACCTCTTCATAACAATAAACTTCCATTACTGTATAATAATGGTAACTATTTCCACCACGTACGTGTAGCTAAGAAGCAAGGAGTTCCTTAAACAAGCTAATAATGCTTTTGTTTAACAGTAAGTTTATTAGCCCTGGAAAATAATGCAATTCTGTCCATCGCCTTGCTACATACAGGAAGACGCACTCCCTAGAGTTTGCAGTCCATAACTGAAGCTCAAAGTGAGAGTCTTACCCCAAACCCAAAGGCAGTTTTAAATTCTTTCAGTAAGAAATGCATGTTTTCTTTTTAAGCTAATCCTTATAGACTAGGTGTTGTTTAAATAAAATCAGTTTATGTCTACAGTACAAGAAGTCAATATAAACTTTATTAGCCATGACTGTGTAAAGATTTCCATCAATCTGTAGTTAGCTTTATGAAAAAATGATGACTGAGGATTACTCTCGTATACATTGGCACATCAACACTTATGAGGGTATGAATGCACCAAAACCTAGGTAAATTAAGAAAACATCTTGTTTCTATAGAACGGCACATGTATAAGTAGTAGTAACGCTGGCTGGAGTTTTTCTGAATACTATTCTGGGGATTTATCACAAATATGGTTTTATCAGCACTTCCTTCCTCCCATCAAAAAGGCTTGAACAGTTATACCACTGTTAATGTAAAAATGTCATACAACTTTTATCGGTCTCTTTCCTTGTGAAGGACACCCTTTTCCTCTGCATTTTGGAGGGCTCAAACTCACTTTTATGAAACTTGCTCCTTTTTTAGCACACAACAAAAGCACCCTATGTGAAGAGCACCGCTGGAATGTTCTTCTGCTGCACAATCCACTGATGCATGTATACTGACTAAAAAAAAAGGGCTTACTCTTAGAAGAGGTTAGCTGCAGAAACAGCAACTGGTTTCCACTTATCTGAGAGCTTACATCCAAGAGATAAGTAGCACTACTTTCAGATGCAATTCCTGAATGAAACACAGCCCTCTAAAACAAATACTGGTCAACATCGTACTCAAAGCCCAAGTTTTAGCTGTTGTATTTTGTTATCCTTCGATTTTCCAACACATCTCCACTGCTCCAGTGCCTTCTTCCAGTCCCCATAACTGAAAAGAGGAAAGTCAAGTTAGTACACTCTCAGAAACCAGCAGACAGACAAAAAGGCTAAATAATCTTTGAGTTGATCAATGTATTTATACATGCACAATGCAGACATTTGGGTTGTTTTCAATTTGTGCCAAGGGTATGAAAATACATCAGTACTTAACTACAACAATCGAAACAGTCTGAGGTCTACCTGTATTCCTATTGTACAACAGCATCTCCGGGGGGAGCACCAAGTAATTCCAGGGTACATCCCTTCAAAACTGCCACCACAAAATCCCACTGGCTCTCCCATAATAAACTTGTATGCACATACGCACATCTGTAAATAACGTTGTGGTGTGAACTGAATTAAAAACGCAATTATTATTGCTATCAACTTAGGATCAAGAAAAGGCAAATAGCTTGCTGAATTAGTACAACTACATCCTTATTTTTAGTAAGACAGTATTAGCTTTCCTGCCATGCAGTCCGTTAAGTACTATCTACCACTCCTTAAACTAACATTGTCACCTTTCCTGTTAGAAAATTTAGTAAGGTTTATAAGCTGCAAAGTAGGCTAAAGAAGTGTAATTTTATCTTGAATATCTTTATTAATTACAACACGGTCCACTAAGTACTAATCCATAGTAAAACAAATCTAATATTCCAGAAAGAGAGAAACCTTTTCACTTGCCAAGGATAATTTATTTTATCTTCTCCTTCCCAGCCAACACAAGAGAATTAACGCTAATATGCGACACACAGATCCAAAAGTTAAAAATATTCTAACATAATCTGCAAGGTGATTCGGGAAAACTTTGTCAAGTCACCAACGATGCAGCATATTAATGCCAGCGTTCCACCTCTTTATCAGAGGATTCATTAATTCATTATCCAGGCGAGCCTCAAACTGTGAATTTAAGAATTTACGTCTACTAGTTCTTGGGAAAAAGAGAAAGAGCTTATTATAGATGCATTCCTCTAATCTAAGATGGTGTCATATTATTGAGCTCAGTGATTTCTGAATGAAAGAAAGATTATGTTATCTAATTTATTTATTTTTGCAGTTCAAATAGTAGACACTGCAGTTCAAATAGTGTCCTTTCTGGTAGGTTTTGTGATTTTAACACACTAACAGTCACGCTTAAGAATAACATGAAAATGAAGAAAGTAGGGGGGGGTCTTTTGGTTGAAATTGTATCAACAGTGACAGAAATCTGAAAGTTGGTCAGGTAGTAGTTTTTCTTTGATTGGGTTAGTTCTATGTTTCCTCTGACTCTTAGCACGGAAACATACATGACGTTCCCATCGTTTTCTGAAGTAAAATCCAGTACCCTGAAATAAATGCATATTTTTTTCCTCTAAATAAACGTAACAGGAGCAATTTGGCAAGAGTACTCTGACAAAAACATTTCAGATATTTAGTTGCTGTGGCTGAGGCTTTAAATCAAAAAGAATAAATTTAAGTAAACTGAAATTACAAGCATATAGTACGCAAACTAACCTTTCTCTCACACGAGACACAGCCTCCCTAAAATCGGTAACAATGGGTCAGATAAACACCACCGTACCAACTAAAGCCTCTTCTTTTTGCCATTTAAAAAGCTGGTGCTTAAAAGCAGCATTTGAAATTAACATCAAATTATGTTCTTGTGTTTATAAAGTACTTTGAAAAACATTCGTTACATAAAAAGATGTTTTCTCGCCAAACTTCTGCAAATACACACAATTTTTACATAAATCTTTCCTTGGAAGAAGGATTTGCCCTTATCGTTTACTGTATACTAGTTTGTAACAGACATTGCACGCAATAAAAAAGTTGTTTCAAACCTTTTTGGGACAATTATTTGGTGGAAGAGTTTTCCAGAAAGTTCTAGAAGAACAACAACAAATACTGCTTTCATTCTTTTTTTTCCTAGTGAGCACCAGAAGAAAAGAAACTGACAGTCACTCTTTAACATAGTTTGGAGACAGTTGCTCCTGTATCTACCTGTCCCTCCACTCACAGAGAATATTAACGTGGTAGGCTTCAAAGCCATGAAACACAGTTTTGAATCATTTTCGAGTTGCTGGAAAGTCTACTGCTTAATCCAAAGACCTCTGAAGAGATAAACTCCTAATCAAAGACTACACAGTTTAGTCATTTAACTTCATGTTCTACCTATTTAACAAGACTGATTAAATATCTGCACATACATCTATTACTCCACTTTTTTTTTTTGATGGTCTTTACACTAAGATTCCTAGACTAAGTAAATTTCTGCAGTGTGATCGAGGTGCATTTGTAGTAACAATAGGTTGTACCCAAACTGGACCAATTTCTAGAGATGAGAAGCAAGTCTCTCCTTATCGTTCCTAACGTAGTAATTAAAAGGCCTGCTATAACCTTCTCCTCCTCCAAAACTTGCTTTCAAACAGAAAGCAGAGACGACTCAGCCACTTGGAACTGGAGATTACACCAGGAACGTCCACTCAAGTCTATAAATACAGAACCTCCAGAAATCATCTATCCAGCTGTTCTACCAGCATACTACTTACCTTCTGTACTGGTACAGCCACCACCCGTCTCTGTCATTAACACATACGAGTCAGCATTATTTCAGAGGTTATCTTCAAAAAAGTATCAACCTGCAATCAAAATAAGATACAACAAACTGAGAATAAGCACGTTTTAGGATAAGAGTCAACCTATAGTGTCGTCCCCCCCCCCTTCCAAAAGTCACAAGTTTGGGCTTGCAGATTAGTCTGTTGCAAGTGTTACTACTTCTCTTTTTAAGTTGTGGAAGATTCACTGGCTTGGAATGGACTGGAATGGTTTAGTGACAGGTTGCATGGCTTATGGATTCTCATTCCTTTCCAATGGTGCACTGCCATGTTAAATCCTTATGTTGAACGACAAAATTTATTGAGGACTAAACAGTAGTACAAGGCTTTTGCTTTGTGTTTTTTTTTTTTTAGTTGGAGGTCTTCACGTCTACTATATTCAAGAGCATCTTTTGAACTTCATGGCTTTACCTGAGTCACAACTTGCCACAGGTTCTGCCACATGTACTAGAATATCCCTGTAATGCAGTGTCAAACTAAACAGTCAGGCATCCAACTAAACATCAAGTTTGCAATGGCTTGCTTCAAACTCCCAATAGCCGAGCTGACATTTTTCAATCTAAACCTATTTCTCATTTCACAAGGCTTTAATTTTATTAAAATATAGTATAAGCAGCCTGCTTAAGCATCTTCACTGAAAGGTATTGGGCACAAAATACCCCCTCCCAACCTTACTTTGCAATATTCTGTCTACACTGAGCTGCATTCTCAATGTCCTTAGTTTCAAAATTGGTGCCATAAATACTTTTATCCAAGAAGAAATGTTGAATTTGGAGAACTTCTAATGTACTGCAGCATTTCCTTTTTTTTTTTTTTTTTTAAATCTAGACAGCACTTCCATTGCCATGACGTGCAGCTTGTCTTACTGTACTAGAAGATAATTTGGTTCAATTTTGACTTAGACTGAAAAACTAGTTTGCTTTGCTTACCATCTTTGCTGTTTCACAGGCATTTGATGCTTTAAATCAGTTGTGGAATGCTGAAAGATTCACTTGTTTTTATGAAGCCATAAGCCTTTGAGAAGTTGGAGAAAGACTTCTTTTGCTTATCTTATTTTCTCCTTTGGAATCAAAGATGTTCCTTTAAAAGTGAGACACTACAGAGTTGCAAAAATTTGAAACAGTATGAGTAAGCACCGTTTTGCAGCTTCTTTGATGGAATTGGTCATATTTTTTTTTTTTTTTAATTTTACAGTATTCTGTAGCTGACTTACATGTACATGGCTTTTACGTGGTTGGGAGATCTTTTCAAACTCCCCATCAAACAGTAGGAAGGCAAAGAATAGTATTATCCATTTGCTTTTTCAGGTCAAGTGACTGATATCCTGTATTTCTCTTTACACAAGAATTTGAAGGCATTTTGTATTAGGGACACCATGTGACTTCAGTATCTAGCCAAACTGAACTTCTAGCGTGGAATAGCCCCACCACCCTCCAAATCACAAGCAACTACTTTGTTTAAGAAGGAGAGGCTGAATATGTAGAACAATCCATCTCCATGTTAGATGGTTGGATGTTGTGTGGAAGATCTTAAGAACTGCTTGTTCCATTCATGAGGAAAATCAGATGGGAAGTGTGGCATTTCAGGGAAACTTTACTTTGAAAATTACAACACTAGTACACAGCTTAAGTTTTATACATTTAACATCTGCTTTTTGAAAGAAATGTTAACAATTCTGAAATGAAATTAAACATTGGTTTAACTTTTCCTCACAAAAGCATAAAAGTCATGGAGGGGAAAACTTAACAGGCAACAATAAAAAAAAGGTAAAAACAACTTTTCCTTTTAGTAGTCCTCTGGTAGTAAAGATAGAACAACTTCCACTTTTTGTTTGTTTGAGAAGTAATCTGTCTTGGTCCAAAAGTTTAAGAATGTTTTTAGTATCTGCTTCTGCCTCCACCTCTATCAGATCGGCTTCCACCACGGCCACCACCTCTGGGTGCTCCGCGGCTTGAACTACTGTATGAATCACGAGGAGGTGGATAGCCCCTTTCCATGGATGGGGGAAGACCCCTGTCTTGTCTTCCAACACGATCACGGCCACTTGAGTAGACATCACTTCTGCTGCTTGAGTAACTTTCTCGGCTTCCATATCCATCTCGTGTGCTGCCGTAATCATCATATCGACTGCTTCCACCATAAGATGGCGGGGGCCCTCGTGCAGGTGGAGCACTACGTGAGTTACCTGCAGGGTCAACGGTCAGGTAATATGGCAACACTATAAGTTATATATAACAATTTTAATCTGAAGTTACAGAACTGCTGTATTAAATGCTTACTGTTACTCTTTCGTATGTATTGAGAACAATCTGCCATGTTAGGGGTATTTAAAGTGGGGGCTGCATATCAGGCAGTGAGTGGATTTAAAGACTTTGAAGGAATGAAGACGGTGTTTATTCAGGCAGGCTCTTTACTGGGTACTCCAGAACAGCTTGTTATTTTAGAGAAGAAACTCAGCCATATTTTCCAGAGAGAGTTGCAATTCTCAACTGTAGACTTTGCTTCTTTAGTTTATAGCTTATTTAACAAGATGATCAAATGATAACCAACAACTGCACTTTCACTGTCGGGGGGGAAAAAAGGTGTGCCATTTCCCCCTAAAACATGAGCAGCCTAGTAAAAATCAGGATTTTATGACATCTGTACAAGTTAATACATGATCCTCAAATTGTATTCTTACCATAACTCTCATATGAATCTCTGTAGGAACCTCCACTTGGATGATCTGAGTAGTCTCTATCACGTCCACCACCATATCCATCACGATCACTGTAAGAGGAAAGACTACTGAGACTCAGTACAAGTCAGTGGAATCATGGCAAAAATAACTGATGTGGAGAAAAATCCTATGCTAGGTACCTATATCCTCTAGAGGGGTACTCATCACGTGAACTGGAATGACCATAATCACGATATGCATAGTCTCGTGGAGGTGGCGCATAGTCCCGTGTATCCCTGGAACTGGGATAGTCTCTACTTGAGTAACTGGGGGGGAAAAAAAAAAAAAGAGTTGAGTTATTAGCTGTATGTCACACTAAGATCATGGATCTTACCTGGGGAACTACAAACTTTAAGTCACACTGAACCGGTAAAAGAATTTACCCATCTTTAGTGCTATAGCCATCATCTCTTGGAGACATGTAGACATCTCTTCGGGATGGCATTGGCTCTCTGCGAGGAGGACCACCATAGCTGTCTCTTCCACGTGACACAGGAGCTTAAAAGAAGCAGTTCAAATTAAAAAAGTTAATTAGCAACAGCCACACAGAAGACTCCAGGGCAAGTATTAGCAGACCGTTTACAACGATTTCAAGACTTAATCGCTGTAGCCTCTATTCACGTTACTTTATGGTTCTGCTTGTATGCATTTAAAGAGGCACTAAAGGAACATGTTCATCAAATTGCATGAAAATGATGTTTTTATGAAGAGAACTGATAGATTAGTAAAGACAAGCAGCAGATTTGAAGTCATCAGTAATTTACATCAGCGCCTGAAGACATACTGGGGTGCTACAAGACTCTGCAAGACAGTAATTCCACAAGTCCTTACCTCTTCCTCCCATACTACTGCTACGCACTGGTCCTGAAGGCGCAGATCTTTTAGGTGGAGGACCTCCACTTCGCGGAGGAGGACCTCTCTTCATAGGAAGTGGCCCTCGAGAAGACCCTAGAAGGATAAGGTGCGCACCAACTTATTACTTCTGTGATACTCCTCTGTATGCCCCTATTATCTGAACTGCAATAACCTTAAGCTCTGTATCATCACCACACAATCAACAGTAAACTTATCATTAGACCTCAGAATAGCTTTCTTTTGTATTTTGGTCACAGCTAGATGTGCAGGCAGAACTGAGAGCATACCAGATTAACTTTTACACTCTAAATACATTCCTGCCAAGAACTGTCTTACAGAAGCGATCCAAAAACCACAGGCTGTGGCACAAAGGGAGAAAGACAACTGATATTTGCAAATCAGTCACAGCTTAGATGTCAACAAGTTACAGTTCTCAGAAGACAAGAGCTACCTGGGAAGATGCATTAGAGAAGATCCTACATAAAGGGGGGGGGGGACAGAGGCACTACACAGTCTGTAGGACCTAGTACACAGACTCTTCAAGAATGGAATTTTCAGTATTTCCAGGGTTTCTCTGCCTATACAGTTTTTAGTTATGCCTCAGGTGCTGCTTGTTTTGATTTTTAAGTCACAGCTTGCTTTGATACTGAAAAGTCTCTGAATGAACAGATATATCTTAAGTTAAAGGATATCCAGTATCAAGTATTCTATTTTCCTACTTCAAAAAGCTTCAACAGGCTATTATTTTTAAACAACAAACAAGGCTTAGCTTCCCAAATCCCCACTATGATCTGGAAGGATCAGTCATTTAAACAGCTACGATTTAATGAGTTTAGACCTCTTGCTAGTAAGAACGAAAGGCAGTTCCCTCTCCCTGGAGGAAGAATCACTTTTTCGACTTGAATACCAGAAAGCTTCCTTTCTCACGTGCAGGGCAGGAGTTTTGCTTTCCTTTCATAGCCAAAAGTCAAGTGGAGTGTTAGATGTAGAAGGGAATCTTCATATTTGGAAGCCTTTTCTTAATGTGTGCTTGCCTAATCAAAAAATTTGACTCAACTGCCGAGATCATATTTCACCTTTTTAATAAAGAACATTGAGTGCACTATTCAGCTGTTTGGTTTTTTTCCAGTAGGATTATTGTCATCTTCCAATGAGATTGTCTTGTATGTTGTCCAAGTATATAATGAGATAGGTAAATACATACCCAAGTGACTCCCTCTTGAAGGTGGTCCTCTCGCGCCACTTCCGCCTCTTCCACCTCTAAGGCCCCTGGGAGGACCTCTGCTTCGTGGAGGGGGTGGCGGTCCACGCCTGCCACCACTTTCAAAGGATGGCTTGGTTGCTTGTTCCACTTTAATTGCTTTCCCATCTAATGACTAAAGAAGAAGCTGCTTTACTTATTGCTCAGTCATGTTTGTATTTCTTAAATTAAGCCCCTCTTGTTTCACTATTATGGGGCTTCCATTTTATAAAGTTAGAGCAACTCTAGAACTGATTCAAGTCTTCAGTATTAGTCCCCATGTACTCAGCAGCACGTTGGGCCTAATTTCTACAGTACTTCATTCCTGTGGTATTGACGAAAAAATCTAGAGCAGCATCAAAAAGGACTTTCAGTCAAAACACAAGTGTCCAATGATTACGGCAGCCCCATGTCATTTATTCTGTAAATGAAATATGATTTATGATCTCCAATTTATTTTCATTTGCCATGGACTTTTGTACCAAACTATGACTGTGCCAGTAGTTATAGGGTTAAGCTGAAGATATCTTAGCTTCAGTTGGGGTTTCTGGCAATGGGGAGGCCGTTTAGTACATTTTCTTGATGTCCTGATAAAATGGTGATCATTGAAGTATTTAAAAGTAATTTCAGCATCTACAGTGCAGACTGATTATGATAGTTCACACCTCTTCTACTGTTTCAAGTTGTATATTCAAAAAGGTGACTGCCACAATTTATTCTGTGACTTGATTTTTTTCCCCAGAGTGGAATCTTTTTTTTTTTTTTTTTTTTTTTGAAGTGGAAGCTGTTTCTTGAGTTTAGACCTGCAATAACAGGAACTCTGTGGCCAACTACTATATCTCATATATGAGCAGGTGGCAAGGCACATTCAGTACCGCAACTTGGGTAAGCAAATTTCTGTATAATTTGTCAGTCACCACACACTCGCTAGTTAGAACAGAGCCAAGATCACAAGCCCTACAGAAGATTTGCCATTTCGGTTACTGTACTTCTATCATGGCAAACATGGTTTATTTGCCTTTTTAGAAGTTAAATATTGAATTCAAGTAGGAAAACTAATGAATTACACAGGCAGAATTGTTTATTGCCTCTCTTTGCTGCAATAAATGAACAGGAACATGACTGCTAGTAATGTTTTACTCTGGACTGCTGGTAGTTGTTTACTGAGGTTTTAACCTTTTTCCCTGAAACCCTTTCTAGAAGCAATTATCCATTGCAGCAGCTCAAGTACTCTACCAGCACACACAGGGATAACTACTGTTTGAGAAAAAGCTCTGTGTATATCCAGTGGTTCAGTTCAGTCCACTGTGAGGGGAAAAGAGTACTAGCAAAACCATATTGTTTTTGGTTTTGACTAAACAAGAATACTTTAGGAATGTAAGGTTCCCCAAAGAGCCTTTGGCATAACAAGCTGAAATATTCCAGGAGTGAGCATTTGTACCTATAATCACTGGAACTTATCATTTAATATTATTGTCATCATCTCTTATCTTTCTTAGTCATCTTCCTCATAACAGGAAAAAACAGGCTTGAAGCCTTAAGCTTTGCCATCATGACAACAACTGCTGTCCTCAGTTTCATGGCAGATTCCTGGCAGCTTGTCTGAATTTTGGAAACCAAATACCACCCCTCCTGCTAGCAGGGTTCTGAACACCTGGATCCAGTTCCAAGTTCTTCCTTTCATTTCTTTTTATGTAAGGAAGAACAGTTTTCTTAACCATTTCTCCTATTTCATTTTGCCTTACACTTAAGCATCTTACTGAGGCAAAATATAGGGTTTTTTTTTATTTTTTGAAACTTGCTTTATACAAGCAAGTCTTAAAAAAGCTAAGCTGAAGGTCCAAGACGACCTTTTGTTAGGTCCAAAGAAAGTTTTTTTCCTCTCCAGTAACTAGGAAAAAACATTTGTCAAAGTTTGTCCTATTTTAAAAGAAAGGGGGCAACTTCATTTTATAGGTTCTCAAAACAGATAAGGACGAAAAGTCTCATCTTATTGAGCAGATAAAACTCAAACAAGCCATCTCACAGCAAGGAATTTTCTCAGTAGGCCCAAAGCACCAGCCGTCAGTATAAACACTCACTTGCTGGCGTTTACAACCTTGATTCAGAGTGTTACGGTAGCATTTTTAATATGATCTGGCCACTATACAATTGAATCAGCTGGGTGCTAAAAGCAGGAAGATCTACTATACAGATCCGTTTAAGGATAAAGACATGATTGGCAATTGTAACTCCTGTATGTGAAATGAATAATCCATACAGCTTTGTAAGGGTGAGCCAGGGAACCTCAAACAGAATTAAAGAGCTGTCCTGCAAACGGCTCCAGATTTCAACAGAAAAGTTAAACGGGCTACATACTTGGAAAGTTTTGGGACTGAGGCAGAATTCAAGTACTCCAAAGAAATAGTAAAAAAGCTGGTGAGAAATTGCAGCCTTACACCACGCAGGGCTTTCCCCTCCAATGGATCACTTCATTGCTGATACTGCAATGACTGATTTCTGCATGTTCCTTGACTGTACAGGAAGAGGGCTTGCATTCACCACATATATTCAAGAACTGAAGATTGTTTTACACCAGGCTGAGCTTCTCTGTGTTCCATCACTTCTGGAAATTCTTTCCTGTTGATTAGAGAGGGATAACCTTCTGCAGTGCTAAATGCAGTTTAGACTGTCATTTGGATTGTAGTATTTGCCGCCAACCTCTAGCACAGTCCAACTGGCTTGGCAAGTCTTCACTTGAATTAAACCTCTGGCTCCTCCAGGATGTTTCCTCTAAAGTCTTATTTTCTCTTTTAATTGCCCATTTTGTCCTCAGGGCTCAAAACCCAAAGACCATAAAACAGTCTACTGCACAAACGTCCACCTGTAGCGTTCACGCTTGTGTCCAGATACCGTTCTTCCGTAACATCAGGATGTGGACTTGACCACCATACAGTTAAAGTTCTTTAAGGAGGATAACGTTTTGCTACGATAAAATATGTCTAGATGCATCATCTGTGCTGCTCAGACAAGTTTAGTTAGATCCGATTCTGCAGAGAAAGTAATTTAAGTGAAGATCGCTGCCGCTGCCCCCCCAGGCATTTTCTGACCTCTTTCTACAGGACTGAAATTAATCTTCAGCAAGCATGCTTGAACTAGTCTATGCTTGCTCCATTTTAGAATGGAACATTAGCCCCCTTCCTACCCTCCACCCAGAGAAGAACAAAACACCAGACGACATATGCTGTTCCTAAACATCTGCAAAGATAAAAAAGATGAACTGCAGATTTACAGAATTTATCCAAGTCAGTCCCTTCTGCTGGCTGCAACTTTGGCTTGCTTTGGAATGACAGAATGAACCAGAGGCTGGTGATACAGAACTCTGTCCCCAAAGTACTGAAAATAAGCAGATTGCTTAAATTGCCTGCACACTGCTTCTGCATCTTCTCTTCAAGTGCGTGGAAGCCTAATGAGCCTGGAAGCTCTAACCCATCACTTCAGAATGTCCCAAAAATTCCAAGTTCTGATTGATCAGAAGAACCTCTTCCAACAGCATGCCTAAAGCATCACTCCTCAGATGTGAGATGCAGAGCCTCTTTGAAGCACGAGCAGCAGTTGTCCAGAAGGTTTTCTGACGATGAGGACAAGAGACCACCTCACAATCATCTTCCAAGTCTGTGATATCCATGATTGAAATAAGATAAATACAGAATGTGCAACTGTACACAGTAATACCTGAAGCTTTATGATTTAAGATCATTCTTAGCTGAATGCTGAATAGGGATTTTTTTCCATATACTATTTGCTGTAAGTCCAGAGTAGATGAAGATACTTTCACCTTTGTAACTTTAAGACAGAAGCCATGGAGAATGACAGCCCACAAGGCAGCACTTCCTAGCCGTTCTTGAAGTAAGGGTGCATTCCAAAACATGTAGACACAAACATTAAATCCGAACCAGCTATTTTACTAACCATTCCTTTCCTAAAGGTTTCCAATGTGTTCAAGGCACATGCCATAACATTCAAGATCCAAAACAGTTGGTGATTTATTTTCAGATGGATTTTAATTTAAGAGCTGCACTCCACAAACTTCTTGGAATTAGCAACTGAATTCCTTCCAGTGTGTCAAATAGTTGTTAGTGCTTGAAGTTACCTTATACAAAGGTACAGCTGAATGATTACTTCAGGGCAATTCCGGGCCTAGGAACTGCAGCAAACAAGTCTTCCGTACTGCAGCAAACTACACATTGGAGGTCAATTCAAGTAACAGGAGCACCTTTAAAGCTATTTGGACTGGTACAGAAAGGACCTTATCTCAGTTGTCACTCTCCATCTTCACAAAAGCGACTAACTTGTTTAAAGAGGAAGTAAGTCTCCAAAGAAGGTAGCACAAGCTGTTGTGAGAACATCCACAAACACCAAGAAATTAAGTACACAGCTGACAGTCTGCTATAACTTTAAATACAACAAGAAAATTTTACTAGCAAGCTCATTTTCTTATTCTCAGAGTAAAACTATTCACAAAGCTTTACTTACTGACTCTGCAATGACTGACATTTTTCCTTCAACCCAATGCCTTACGCTAACAAGACGTAAGGCTATCAAGAGCCTGACTCTCTCTTAATTCCAGCGTATCAGCAGAGGCTTCTTCACCTTATATGTGCAGCATTTCATAGTCCAATTCAGTTTGACCTTAACACAACTGTTCAGATTATGCAGAGACCAATCACAGCCTGAAATTAAAGTTAACCGGGATGACTGCTTGCACTGTCTAAAGAGACAGCACCTCTATGAAGACAGCCAGCTCTTCACCATTAAGTTGCAGACTTGCATTTGGCTTTTCAAGCACATGCTGAAAGAGACCTCTAGAGACCACAATAGCCTATAACCCTCCTATAGGCTACCCCAAGGTCAATCTCAGAACTCTTGCTCCAAGCTCGCTCTTTTTCAAAAAAGACATTAAACATGTATTTCCACTTTAATCACATAGTTTCACTGTAGGGTGTAAACAAGCAAATTCCATTACTAGCTAACTAAAATTATTTCACAGTAACTGGCAAGATGCTTCTCATACATGCCAAATGGGTTGGCGATGCAACTCACAAACGTATGAAGATACCTACATGTTAATAGGTAGCGTATCAACACTTAGCATGGTAGGCAGGTCACATGAAACTCATGTTAAGGGAAGCATTAGTAATTTTCCAACGCTTCACTTCCCTAAAACACCATTTATACAGTACTATAGTCAAAAACTATAAAATAAAAAATTAGAAGAGACATGAAAAAAAGCTGTCTACTAGAAAGCCCTCCAACACTAATTTAAAACAAACAAAAACACCACATACAAACATACAACTGACAGCCAGACCTTACTTTCTCTGGTCATATCAAGGGTCAGAAGAAAGTGATTCCAGCTTCATGGAGATAGAGTAAGTAATAGTGTTGCTAAGTTTTGAATTATGACTTGTCTCCAGGATCTTTCAATGCAGTATCTTTCCAGGTTTTATTAATCTACACTATGGATCAATATTGCTTGTCAGGAGCAATGGCAACATATGACTGGCTGTAATTCCTACCTTTCCGTTCATGTCTCTGGCAGCATCTTTTGCATCTGCTGGACTCTCAAATGTGACAAATGCAAATCCTCTGGACTTGTTGGTTTCACGATCTTTCATCAAGAGAACTGCAAATATAAAATTATATATTACTCTTTTCTGTAGTGAGACAGTAACACTTAACCTTTACTTAACCTTTAAGCTCAGAACTTCTTAGAGGACATGAGAGCATCATCATTTCAGATGATCAACACCACAAAATTCATCACAGCTAAGGTTTTTTTTTTTTTAAATGTATCAGTCTTACAAGCAGGTTTTTTTTTTTTTTTTTTTACCTTCCACAATGCGCCCATATTTGCCAAACACAGCCTCAAGGGCTTTTTCATTAGTCTCTGTGTTCAGGCCCCCAATGAACAGTTTCCCAGGACGATCTGCTTCAACCATTTTGATTCCGTAATGACCTGTTAAAAGCATAAGGTTGTTATTAACAAAGCATTACACTACAAGAGAGACTTCCAGACAGCCCCATGGAACATAACTTCTTTTCTCAAACATACAAACAATTCTCTTGAACAAGATGTCAATTAAGAGCTTTGAGGTATAAAGAACAAAGTAAGAAACAACTGTTAGAACGAAGCAACTAGACAAAGTAGTACCTACAGTTACTTCTTCACATTATGTAAGTTATTTCAAGGTTAACTGTTTCTACTTGAAAAGGGAACCAAAGCAGAGACAGCAAGTTTTAAGATCAAATAGTACTGGTGCATGGAAAAGCCTTTCAGGGTTCCTGTTGCTTTTGTCCTCAATGATAAACCTAGCACGCCCTCCCCACAAATCCTGCTGTAGATCAATCAAGAAATATTATGTCAAGATAAAACAAAATAGCAAATTTTAAGTCAGCTGTTATCAACGTTTCAAATTAAGCTGATTCTTTACATTATTCAAAATATACTGACATCACACCAAAATCTTGGCCTAGATCACATATCAGCCTGAAGGGACGCCACCCCACCACTGCAGTCCTACACAGCAAGGCCATGGCCGGGGTGGGTGGAGAACCCGCCAAATACAAAAGAAAAGAAAACCTCAAAGCTCCTGGCAAAATGCCTGCCGCCTATGGACAACGGTACCCACACGGCGCCAGCCCAGCGGCGGGAAAGCGCACGAGGAGGGCCCGAGCGACTCCCTCAGCGCACAAGGAGCACAGGGACAAAGCAGCCCCCCGAGGGCGGCGGGAGCCCGGG